TGTATGCATAAACTATCGTTTTTTAACGTTTAAGTTTGATGCTAAATGTTTGACATCTATTGTGGCATTAAGAATTGTGTGCTCATTTAAGATATCTTTTAGGCCTAAGCCCTAACTAAGTTGTGAATATTGTATAGTTTCAAGCCTGAGGCTAAATGTTTGACATCTAGAGTGGCATAAAGATACTGACTTAAACTATTGTTGGCAACAGTTATAATGTGTCACATTAATACTAGTGCAATACTTTAGTAATTGACATATAGAGTGGATGGAAGCAAGCGTTGTTAATGAAATAGCAATATTAACAGAAAGTGATATTTCAATGCCAAGGGTAGACAAAGGTACTTGCGCTATATGCTGTACCTTTGTCTACCCTTTGCGTTGAAATATCACTTTCTGTTAATATCGCTAGTAACTGACATACACTCAATACTTCTGTAATGATAATTATAATGAGTATTATTTGGCACTGTATTTCAAAAGGCTAAGGCAATGCCATACTTCATGTCAAAATAAAAATAAAATACAATGAATTACCACCTACTCCTCGTTAAAAATTGTATGTATTTTAACAAAATTAATTTAGTAAAAAAAAATTGTAAGAATATATTTTAGTGTTTGGATCAAGAACATCTAAACATGAACATTCAACATGAAAAAAAAACAAGATATTCTTTAAGCCAATGATGTCATTAGATTTGAATCAACCAGAAAATGGTTTTCTTTTGTAACAAGGTAATTACTGTTTCACTAATATAAAATTCAGATTAATATGATAACATTTTAAAAGATAAAAGAATGTAAAGTGTATTACTAGAAATAAACATCAGATGAAACTAAACAAATTTTCACGTGTAAGTTATTGACAACATAATGTATGTGAAAAAATTAAAGATGGGTGGTAATTAAACTGATAGCTGTGATGGTACTCATGAAAACTGATGGTGGTGATGGTACAAATTTGATAGTTGCATGAGAAAATGTGTGCTCAAACAGGAAGACTATATTTAGGATCACTTATTTTTAGGCTAAGGGAATCCCCAATAACAACATGAACTGGTGTGGTGCAACATATGCTTATAGACTAAAGATTAATCTTAACATACAGCATGATAAGGAAAAAAAAATAACATTGTGCCTAATGGTTTCTTAAAAAAATAATGAAGTAGTAGAATTTTTACAAGTTTAACAGAAATAAAATGAAAATTTCTGTTTCTTATATCAAATAAAAAGAGAAATTTAAAGAAATTATTTATTAATATTTACTATAAATACCATTATAAAATTCCTCATTGAAAAATAAAACATTTTAACAGTTCACAATAAGTTAATATTAATATTGTTAATATATATTTAGGAAATTTTAAAAATTTGCCATTTCATTTAAAATTTAAAACTTTTTTTAAACACATCACAATGACAAATGACATATTGAGTTAGTTGGTGATTAGAGTAGGTGTCTGAGGCACTTATTTTGTTTAGATAAATGGGTTAGATTAAAGATTAAAATTGCTTAAAAACGAAATTGGATTTCGGGGGGAAAAAAAATTTAATGGCTGCTAAGTCAAAAATAAGACATGATCTTTTTTTTACTGCTGAACACTGTCACTTTGAACTCATGTTCATAATTGAAGTCATAATAAAAGGTAAAGCAATACATTCTTTTCTGGGCTATGTTTCTATTGGTGATGACTAACTATATTTTATTAGTATTATTTGGAAAAAACTATCTAAAAAATAAGTAGTTGTTTTAAACTGCCGTCAATATTTTGTGCTTACAAGATCCACACATCATTTAATGAAACTAAAAAATAAACATATAAATCACATTAATTAATATCACATCATACAATGATAGAGGCTAACCCTAATCATAACCCTGTAGTGAACCATGTAGCAGGTCAAGGTTGAGATACAAATCCAACCCGTACAATCCAAACTCTATATGGAGCCCAAACTATACAAATCCAACACATACAATCCAAACTCTATATGGAGCCCAAACTATACAAATCCAACACGTACAATCCAAACTCTATATGAAGACCAAACTACAAACTTTTTCTAACTTGGATTACCTAATCAAATTGATTAATTGACAACAAAACAGTGCTCAATTAAACCAAACTTTTTATATTATTGCTAACCCTTCTTTGTGTAATAGAAAGAATTTTAAGTTCACACTTCCCTTCTCTGTAAAAGAGAATAATTAGTTCATACCTGTAATTAATAGCATAAGTCTACAAACATAACTTCATACAAATGTGTACATTTATGTAGCTCATGTCCAAATACAAATGTTCCATGATATGGATGTGTTTATGTACATGAATTGTGTAAAAATGCTGGTTAAAAAGGGAGGATACCTATGAATGCTTGGGCTCAATCATTTGATTGTGGCACGCTAAAGTGCATGTAAACAGACAAGCTTGATGAAAACAGAGTTGGAATAAATCGTAAACCAACATTGAGCATTTTGAACATGGATCTCCCGATTAACAAAATCCACTTTATATTGAGAATATCAATTGTAGATGTGCTTATCTTGTTCCTGGCTTTAAAAATTATAATTTATAATGACTTATTATGAAATCATTTTGAACGTGGATTTTGAAATTTCATATATTTAGTTTTAAAACAAAGTCACAATTAGCCCTAGATACACCATGCTGTGGTGCCGCATCGACCCAAACAAGGGTTAGGGGAATAATTAGTTTTAGATGACTTAAGTAATGAGCATTCACAGATAGCCAAAAATAAATCTTTGAAACATTGATAACAAAAAAATTATCACACGATGTAAAAATAAATATGTTAATTCTCGCTGATTTTTATGTTTGTCTAGTTAAATTCAGTGTCAGACATTCGACATCTTGTCTAATATGAAACATTCAACATCTAGCTTAATACCAGACATTCAACATCTGGTCCAATACCAGACATTCAACATCTGGTCCAATACCAGACATTCAACATCTGGTCCAATACCAGACATTCAACATCTGGTCCAATACCAGACATTCAACATCTACCAGACATTCAACATCTGGTATTCATACCAGACATTCAACATCTGGCCCAATACCAGACATTCAACATCTGGTCCAATACCAGACATTCAACATCTGGTCCAATACCAGACATTCAACATCTGGCCCAATACCAGACATTCAACATCTACCAGACATTCAACATCTGGTATTCATACCAGACATTCAACATCTGGCCCAATACCAGACATTCAACATCTACCAGACATTCAACATCTGGTATTCATACCAGACATTCAACATCTGGCCCAATACCAGACATTCAACATCTGGCCCAATACCAGACATTCAACATCTGGCCCAATACCAGACATTCAACATCTGGCCCAATACCAGACATTCAACATCTGGTCCAATACCAGACATTCAACATCTTGTCCAATACCAGACATTCAACATCTGGCCCAATACCAGACATACAACATCTGGTCCAATACCAGACATTCAACACCTGGTCCAATACCAGACATTCAACATCTGGTCCAATACCAGACATTCAACACCTGGTCCAATACCAGACATTCAACATCTGGTCCACTTACATTCAACATCTGGTCCAATACCAGACATTCAACATCTGGTCCAATACCAGACATTCAACATCTGGTCCAATACCAGACAATCAACATCTGGTCCAATACCAGACATTCAACATCTGGTCCAATACCAGACATTCAACATCTGGTCCAATACCAGACATTCAACATCTGGTCCAATACCAGACATTCAACATCTGGTCCAATACCAGACATTCAACATCTGGTCCAATACCAGACATTCAACATCTGGTCCAATACCAGACATTCAACATCTGGTCCAATACCAGACATTCAACATCTACCAGACATTCAACATCTGGTTCAATACCAGACATTCAACATCTGGTCCAATACCAGACATTCAACATCTACCAGACATTCAACATCTGGTCCAATACCAGACATTCAACATCTGGTCCAATACCAGACATTCAACATCTGGTCCAATACCAGACATTCAACATCTGGCCCAATACCAGACATTCAACATCTACCAGACATTCAACATCTGGTCCACTTACATTCAACATCTGGTCCAATACCAGACATTCAACATCTGGTCCAATACCAGACATTCAACATCTGGTCCAATACCAGACATTCAACATCTGGTCCAATACCAGACATTCAACATCTGGTCCAATACCAGACATTCAACATCTGGTCCAATACCAGACATTCAACATCTGGCCCAATACCAGACATTCAACATCTACCAGACATTCAACATCTGGTCCAATACCAGACATTCAACATCTGGTCCAATACCAGACATTCAACATCTGGTCCAATACCAGACATTCAACATCTGGTCCAATACCAGACATTCAACATCTGGTCCAATACCAGACATTCAACATCTGGTCCAATACCAGACATTCAACATCTGGTCCAATACCAGACATTCAACATCTGGTCCAATACCAGACATTCAACATCTACCAGACATTCAACATCTGGTCCAATACCAGACATTCAACATCTGGTCCAATACCAGACATTCAACATCTACCAGACATTCAACATCTGGTCCAATACCAGACATTCAACATCTGGTCCAATACCAGACATTCAACATCTACCAGACATTCAACATCTGGTCCAATACCAGACATTCAACATCTGGTCCAATACCAGACATTCAACATCTACCAGACATTCAACATCTGGTCCAATACCAGACATTCAACATCTGGTCCAATACCAGACATTCAACATCTGGTCCCAATACCAGACATTCAACATCTGGCCAATACCAGACATTCAACATCTGGTCCAATACCAGACATTCAACATCTGGTCCAATACCAGACATTCAACATCTGGTCCAATACCAGACATTCAACACCTGGTCCAATACCAGACATCAACATCTGGTCTAATACCAGACATTCAACATTTGGTCCACTTACATTCAACATGTTACAATACCAGGTCTGCGAGAGCTACAGAGTAAGAAAAAGTGTGGTGTGCTGCCATTGTTTAGTGTTCCTTCCCCCATCACACAACAGTTTTCAACATGAAGGTGTTTGTATTATGTGGCCATACAACACCCTGTGACACACAGCAGTGACAGAAAACTGTGACACGGCTGTGACAGAAAACTGTGACACACGGCTGTGACAGAAAAATGTGACACGCGGCTGTGACAGAAAACTGTGACACACGGCTGTGACAGAAAACTGTGACACACGGCTGTGACAGAAAACTGTGACACACGGCTGTGACAGAAAACTGTGACACGCGGCTGTGACAGAAAACTGTGACACACGGCTGTGACAGAAAACTGTGACACACGGCTGTGACAGAAAACTGTGACACACGGTTGTGACAGAAGACTGACACACGGCTGTGACAGAAAATGTATGAAAAACAAAAAAAGTACCAAAAACCTCAAGTTAAAAAAGTGACAAGTAATATTTCAAATAACTAAAAAAAAAGGTTCACAAAATTTTGTACAACTCTGAAATCAAAGTATAAAAAAACTCCATTATGTCAACTTTTCTAACCATCATTATTTAGATGCATTTTATTTAATACTTTTTTCATTTTTCATAAAATTTCTTTCTTCTGATTCTCAATGTCATCATTTTACAACAAGCCTTAATAGCAAGCGGCCATATTTATCTAAAACTGGACCCTGGTCTAATGCTGCTGTATCAGCCTCAACCCCAGCCACTATAAAGACACTAGCTCACAAACCATCAACTGGACTCTGGATTCTCTGAGACTTTGACGTCATACTCAGCGTCACTGCCGACTGTGCTGGAGACCATTTCAAAGTTGTCTTCAGACGTGACGCTGCTCGTCTGGGGAATGTGTTCTGTGGGGGGTGCAGGGACGGCGGTAGTTGAGGCCAGGGATAAAGTTGTCGGGGGTGCTGCTACCTCTTTGGGCTTGGACTGTTTGGAATTATCCGGAACTGCTGGTGCGGTCAATTTGCTGAGTCGCACCACCTCTTGGGACATTACTTCTAGATCCTAAAATTAAACGAATTAAAAGTGAATGTCATTATTAGACTTGTAGGTAATACCTGTGCAGTAACAATATTACAACTACAGGTAATAAACATCACCTGCATATGTCAATGTTACAATAATACGCTATAAACAACATAGTAGTAATTTCAATGCTACACTAATATGGTTGAGACAAACGTACACTAATATGTTATTATCACCTGTCGTACCACTTACCTGCTGTAGATGCATGTTCTTGGTGAGCGTCTCCTCCAACATACTCTGCAGCTTCTTGTTCATGTCCTGAGCGTGCTGGGCGTGGTCACTGTTTTTATTGACCAGGTCCATCACTTTCTTCAAGGTCAGCTTCTCCTCATGTGGGTGGCTGGGTTTTGGTCCTGTAACCAATGGTTTGTTACGATTTTAGAATACTGCTATGACATAAAGTAACAAATATTTAGAGCTGACAGAGGGTCCATACAATTTTAGAAAAACAGGATATGACTTAAAGTAAAAAAAAAAGTAAAGATTCCTTTTTATGCAGATGAAGTAGAGTTCATGTTTCTTGACATGGGCATATGATGGGATAGTATGGTCAGTACTATGCCCAGCTACCTATACTTTCCCTAAGTTGAGTCAGGCACCCATCACTGCTATAACATGCTATGGTTAAAATAACAGTGCCAGGAGAGGAGCACACACCTTCCCACCCCTTATGCAACAGCCACTACGTACATTTCCTGCACCCCCCCCCCCCCACCTCTTCCCAGATTGCCAGGCTCCCAAATCCAAAATGTTTTGATATCAAAGCTGACTTATTTCACCACAATAACAGAGGAAAGCACAAGTAAAAATACACACAAGGCCCACACACACCATCCCCCCATACTGTAGATATACTCTTCTCCAGCTTTTATATAACCATATATAAATATCTATCTGTTAGTCCTGTAGACATCAAACATGCCACATAAACAGTTCTTTTATTAGTGTCTACAATATGCAAACACAAAGAAATAAAGCCATGACCTAGCATTCACCTGTTTTTAATGCTTGTTTTTATGTTTAAATAACCCTCAGGTATAATATATGGATTTGATGAAGCTGTAGCAGTAAAGATGTTGTTAATTGCAGCCTTGTGTTTAAAATGACAGGATTAAGTCATAAGGTTGATGTGAGTTGTTCCTTACCTGTGCGGCTCTCCATCACATAATGCTCTATGATTGATGTCTTCTTTAAGATATCTTCAGCCATACAAGAGTTACTGGTCTCTAGGTGGTTCACCTGGAATACATAGACATATTATAGTAAAAATTTAACCCTTTCACAACTAGTTTTAACTGGAGTCACTGCAAATGGCTGTTTTTGAGGCAATAATGGAGGACAAAAGTAAATAGAATTTTATTCTGAATATAAAACTACGGATCAGGAAACAGAAGTTCACTCAAAAACTAACAATTTATCTCGATTACAATTTTCATTTTAATTCAACGCCAAACTGTAGCTGTTCAGGCATGTTCTTAATATTACTTGGAAGATAAAATAGTAAATTAAACAGGGGGAAGGGAATTGTACAAATAAGCAATTAGGGCAGTTGGAATCTTGTATGGTGATTACCTTCTCCTCTAGAGCCCATTTCTCTTGCTGTAGGGCCGCCACCCTCTTAAGGAGGTCGTTGTACTCATCCCCAACACTGGTGTCACTACTGTGGCTGTTGTGTCCTGATATGGGGGACTGGAAAATAGACATATAGTTAACATATGGGGGACTGGAATATAGACATACAGTTAACATATGGGGGACTGGAATATAGACATACAGTTAACATATGGGGGATTGGGACAGATGGTCATACAGTTAACATATGGGTGACAGGGACAGACATACAGTTAACATATGGGGGACTGGAACAGATGGTCATACAGTTAACATATGGGGGACTGGAATAGATGGTCATACAGTTAACATATGGGGGACTGGAACAGACATACAGTTAACATATGGGGGACTGGAATAGATGGTCATACTGTTAACATATGGGGGACTGGAATAGATGGTCATACTGTTAACATATGGGGGACTGGAATATTTTTACAGCTAACATATGGGGGACTGGGACAGATGGTCATACAGTTAACATATGGGGGACTGGAGTAGATGGTCATACAGTTAACATATGGGGGACTGGGATAGATGGTCATACTGTTAACATATGGGGGACTGGGACATTCAGTCATACAGTTAACATATGGGGGACTGGAACAGATGGTCATACAGTTAACATATGGGTGACAGGGACAGACATACAGTTAACATATGGGGGACTGGGATAGATGGTCATACTGTTAACATATGGGGGACTGGGACATTCAGTCATACAGTTAACATATGGGGGACTGGAACAGATGGTCATACAGTTAACATATGGGTGACAGGGACAGACATACAGTTAACATATGGGGGACTGGAACATAGACATTCAGTTAACATATGGGGGACTGGAATAGATGGTCATACAGTTAACATATGGGGGACTGGAATAGATGGACATACAGTTAACATATGGGGGACTGGAATAGATGGTCATACAGTTAACATATGGGGGACTGGAACAGACATTCAGTTAACATATGGGGGACTGGAATATTTTTACAGCTAACATATGGGGGACTGGAACAGATGGTCATACAGTTAACATATGGGTGACAGGGACAGACATACAGTTAACATATGGGTGACAGGGACAGATGGTCATACAGTTAACATATGGGGGACTGGAACATAGACATTCAGTTAACATATGGGGGACTGGAATAGATGGTCATACAGTTAACATATGGAGGACTGGAATAGATGGTCATACAGTTAACATATGGGGGACTGGAACAGATGGTCATACAGTTAACATATGGGGGACTGGAATAGATGGTCATACAGTTAACATATGGGGGACAGGGACAGTCATACAGTTAACATATGGGGGACTGGAATAGATGGTCATACAGTTAACCCATATTCTGCTAGCGTCCCACTTATGGGACGCTTGTAAAAAAAATTGCTAAAATTTATTAAAAACTAGTTAAAACACAAATTATGTTTCATTGTATTTGAAAATGGTTAGACTATTGAATCTGTGTGTGTTTTGTGAACAAAATTAATTTAGAAAAATGTTATAGTGCCAGATTTGCAGGACTTGTCAAAATGGCGGAAAAAAAGAAAACATGCGCACAGGAAAATGAATATCTTCTAAAATATTAACATTTTAAGTGCAAAATACATTTGAAACTTGTAGCAGTACCATATTTCTATCTGATAAAAATTTAAGAATAAAATTTTTTTTTTACTACTTCGTTATATCAAGTGTACAACAAGCGTCCCATAAGTGGGACGCTAGCAACGAATGGCCCCATGTAGATTGTTACACAAACGTCACATTTATTTGACTCTAGCGAGAAACACATATGCAAATGTTTATGTTAAATGGTTATTTATGGTGAAACAATTGTTGACTATGTTAACTGCTGACTTTGGGGTGTTAAGTACTATTTATAGATATTTAATTATGACCTTGACCTATATTTATGCAGATTGTTACACAAACGTCACATTTATTGGACACTAGCGAGAAACACAGATGCAAATATTTATGTTAAATGGTTAATTATGGTGAAACAATTGTTGACTTTGTTAACTGTTGACTTTAGGGTGTTAAGTAGTATTTATAGATATTTAATTATGACCTTGAGCTATATTTTCTTATATATTATTGTATTAAAAAATTGCAAATATTGAAAAACTTACATTTTATTTTTAAGTTTTCAGAATTACGCTTACTGAAGTATTTAATACCATTGAATACAAACTAATTTAGTATTGCTGTAAATTTACTAGCGCGTGATATTAAAATTATAACAAACCAGAATAATAACAATGGCCACTATTGAGGTGAAATGATTCAGTCAAGGGGGTTGGTTAACTCTCTTCATATAAGAGCTCAAGCTACATATAGCAGAAATGTGAATTAGCTGTGTACTAGTGTCATGCCCCAATAATATTCCCATCCAAAGTTTCCCGATACCAGTTTTACTTTGTTAACTTTTTAAGGAGCTTCCTGATGTTAGATTGGGAGCTGTACGCATAGTGAAGTGCATACATAGATGAGAGCAATGAACACACAATACAAGCCCCCAGAGACGGATCCGTGCCATAGTAATAAGATGTCTGATGTCCTAATGTACGCCTGTGGGGGTGTGGGGGGGGGGGGATAGAGAGGGTAACAAAAGAGAAGATGGCTAGATGACATCTGGGACTGGACCGGATCGTCTTTTGCAAATTCACTGAGGGCAGAGTTTCTTTCAGGCATCATTTCGGAGAGGGGGGGGGGGGGCTCTGCCCCCAGAACAAAATGGAATTTATATACAAAACATACTTTTACCAATGTCCACCCTTCCCCTGAAATTTAAGTCCCCCCCCCCCCCCTGAAAATTTCAAGTACGCCCCCCAAAAAATCAATTATTTATATTTAATTATATTACAGTTTCGACGAATAATAACAATATTTGTGATCATGTGTATCTAATTAGATGTATTAGTCACAGCTTTACTTATTTCCAAGTGTTGTTCACTTTGATGGATGCTAGATTGAAAGAAAACTAGACTTTTGAACAAAAATTTTGCATTTTAGACCATGGTATGGCTAACCCAATTGATCATTATCATTATTTTTAGCTGTCCTAAACAATGTAATCATTGGTCTAACAATACAAAATCAGCATACAGCTTAATTTTCGCGTGATTAGCCATATGTCGTGATAAATGATTTTATTTTTCAATAAATGTACATGGGGCCGTTCGTTGCTAGCGTCCCATTTATGGGACGTTTTTTAAAAAATCGATATTTAAAAAAGTATTGATTTTAAAAAAAAATCCATAGTCATTCCTTCATTCAGTGCCCAAAAGCTAAACCATATAAAAAAATTATAAAAATTTGAGACCTTGGGATAATATGGGTTAACATATGGGGGACTGGAATAGATGGTCATACAGTTAACATATGGGTGACAGGGACAGACATACAGTTAACATATGGGGGACTGGAACATAGACATTCAGTTAACATATGGGGGACTGGAACAGATGGTCATACAGTTAACATATATGGGACGGAGTGGTCTAGCGGTAGAGAGCTGGGCTGCTAACCCGTTAATCTCGAGTTCGAATCCGGGTTCAAGTCAGTAGACCGTCCCTGAGTCCACCCAACTCTGATGGGTACCTAACTCACGTTAGGGAAAGTAAAGGCGGCTGGGCATAGTGCTGACCACACTATCTCTTCATATGCCGAGGTCACAGAAACAAGTGAACTCTACTTCACTTGCCCCATAGACCGTCAGGTTTGAAAGGGAAACTTTTTACTTTTACAGTTAACATATGGGGGACTGGAATAGACAGACATACAGTTAACATATGGGGGACTGGAATAGATGGTCATACAGTTAACATATGAGGGACTGGGACACTGACATACAGTTAACATATGGGGGAGTGGAACAGATGGTCATACAGTTAACATATGGGGGACTGGAATAATTATACAATTAACATATGGGGGACTGGAACAGACATACAGTTAACATATGGGGGACTGGAATATTCTTAAAGTTAACATATGGGGGACCGGGATAGACATACAGTTGTAAAGTTAACATGTGGGCTAAAATTATGGCAAAACAGCTACAGGGGACTGATACAGACAAACTGATACAGTTAAATTGTGAATCAAAATCATGGGAAACTTATTTGGGACTGATAGAGAAAATCTTGAAGAACGTGACTTGTCTGTTTCTAAATAAAACATGTACTCACCTGCGGCCCACTAGCCACAGAGTCTCTGCACAGACCACTGGCACCAGCTCCCCATGATGACAGAGAGCTAAAACATCAAACAATAAACAAACTGTGTTAAGTCTCTAACAGAGAGCTAAAATATCAAACAATAAACAAACTGTGTTAAGTCTCTAACAGAGAGCTAAAATATCAAACAATAAACAAACTGTGTTAAGTCTCTAACAGAGAGCTAAAATATCAAACAATAAACAAACTGTGTTAAGTCTCTAACAGAGAGCTAAAATATCAAACAATAAACAAACTGTGTTAAGTCTCTAACAGAGAGCTAAAATATCAAACAACCTCATTGTCTAAAGTCTCAACTAAAAGAAAACTGTAATATCAAACAACAACCACATTGTCTAAAGCAGGGGTCTCCAAACTTTTCAGTCCGAGGGCCGCATTAACTATCAAATTTCAGTTCGGGGGCCAGTTTCTTCCAGGCATGTCTTTAATTTTTCTGGGCAAAGTTCCTCAGCCATCACCAACAAACGGTTTTTCCGTGGACAAAATATCTCCGCGGGCCGGATGAGAGGACATCGCGGGCCGCATCCGGCCCGCGGGCCGTAGTTTGGAGACCCCTGGTCTAAAGTCTCAACTAAAAGAAAACTGTAATATCAAACAACAACCACATTGTCTAAAGTCTCTAAACAATATTATAGAAGAGATGGTCGATGCAAACACAAAGATAAGAGATCCTCTACCTTGTCTCCTGTAGATCACTGTCTGGCGTTCGGAAAAAGTCTTCCATATCTGGGGAAGTAAAAAAAAATTAATTAAAACATAACATTATAATTAGGAAAATCTTCCTAGCAGGGAAATTAAAATGAAACATTTATTCACCAGTAAGTTGGTAGCTTTGTGTGAACTAAGGTATCTAAAAATAACTTTAGAAAGAACTATAAAACAGGAACTGTGCCAACTAAGGGAAGCAACTGTGTAACATTAAGGGAAGTAAGAATGTGTAGACTCACGTTTATTGCTGTCTTCCGACAAAACTTCTTGCAGCTTAAGTTGAAGCTTCTCTGCTCGTTTTCTCTCTGCGTGAAGCTGTCTCTTCAAATCTTTCAACTACATGATAACATTTTCAACACCGATTAGAACCAAAGCCTTATAACAAACTAAAAAAGTTATATGATCTACCAAAAACAATTAAATATTTAAAATAGCTGCTGGTTCAATTACTTTTAATATTTAATCACCAGCTTCATGAAATTTCACGTGAATTTACATGTAAATATCGTGTAAATTTCCTGTAAAATTCCAGAAAATATACCCACCACAATCATTCCCTTTTTCTCATGCAATTTCTTGTCATCTTCTTTGTCCTTTATTTGCTAAAATAAAAAATTCAATTACATTACATAAACGTTAGAATAGCTAGTTCTAGGAAGAAGAAAAAAATGATGTCACAAACTCATAGCCTGTTTATATTTCAAATAATTAGAAATTAAAATGTGCTGTTGAATTATTGATAAAATGATTTAAATTATAATTGAAAAGTTTTTTAAAATGTAAAAAATAAGTAAAGTAGCGAATATATAATGTGCCTATGCTGCAAGTTTGTACTAAGGCCTTAGCTCTGTTATCTGACTGCATGATATACCTGTTTGAGCTATATTAAGGCCTTAGCTCTGTTGTCTGACTGCATGAAATACCTGTTTGAGCTGTACTAAGGCCTTAGCTCTGTTATCTGACTGCATGATATACCTGTTTGAGCTGTACTAAGGCCTTAGCTCTGTTATCTGACTGCATGATATACCTGTTTGAGCTATACTAAGGCCTTAGCTCTGTTGTCTGACTGCATGAAATACCTGTTTGAGCTGTACTAAGGCCTTAGCTCTGTTATCTGACTGCATGATATACCTGTTTGAGCTGTACTAAGGCCTTAGCTCTGTTATCTGACTGCATGATATACCTGTTTGAGCTGTACTAAGGCCTTAGCTCTGTTGTCTGACTGCATGATATACCTGTTTGAGCTATACTAAGGCCTTAGCTCTGTTATCTGACTGCATGAAATACCTGTTTGAGCTGTACTAAGGCCTTAGCTCTGTTGTCTGACTGCATGATATACCTGTTTGAGCTGTACTAAGGCCTTAGCTCTGTTGTCTGACTGCATGATATACCTGTTTGAGCTGTACTAAGGCCTTAGCTCTGTTATCTGACTGCATGATATACCTGTTTGAGCTGTACTAAGGCCTTAGCTCTGTTAACCTACTGCATGAAATACCTGTTTGAGCTGTACTAAGGCCTTAGCTCTGTTATCTGACTCCATGAAATACCTGTTTGAGCTATACTAAGGCCTTAGCTCTGTTATCTGACTGCATGAAATACCTGTTTGAGCTATACTAAGGCCTTAGCTCTGTTATCCTACTGCATGAAATACCTGTTTCAGCTGTACTAAGGCCTTAGCTCTGTTATCCTACTGCATGAAATACCTGTTTGAGCTGTACTAAGGCCTTAGCTCTGTTATCTGACTGCATGAAATACCTGTTTGAGCTATACTAAGGCCTTAGCTCTGTTATCTGACTGCATGAAATACCTGTTTGAGCTATACTAAGGCCTTAGCTCTGTTATCCTACTGCATGAAATACCTGTTTCAGCTGTACTAAGGCCTTAGCTCTGTTATCCTACTGCATGAAATACCTGTTTCAGCTGTACTAAGGCCTTAGCTCTGTTATCTGACTGCATGAAATACCTGTTTGAGCTGGCTGATGGTGGCGTTGATCTGCTCCAGCTCCTGGTTCAGTGATGCCTCCTTCAGTGCCCACTCTGCCAGGCACCGCCCACTCTCCTCCTGCAGCCTGCCCATCTCCTCCTGGTGCCTGAGGTTGAGAGCCTCAATCTCAGACAGCTTCTCTTTCTTCATGGACTCCCTCTCCTCCTCAAATGATGTGACAGCGGATGCTAGCTGCTCCTTTAAAAAAAAAAATACCCCAAGTTTAGTCTAACTTGTCACAGATGACAGCGGATGCTAGCTGCTCCTTTAAAAAAAAAAATACCCCAAGTTTAGTCTAACTTGTCACAGATGACAGCGGATGCTAGCTGCTCCTTTAAAAAAAAAAATACCCCAAGTTTAGTCTAACTTGTCACAGATGACAGTGGATGCTAGCTGCTCCTTTAAAAAAAAAATACCCCAAGTTTAGTCTAACTTGTCACAGATGACAGTGGATGCTAGCTGCTCCTTTAAAAAAAAAAATACCCCAAGTTTAGTCTAACTTGTCACAGATGACAGTGGATGCTAGCTGCTCCTTTAAAAAAAAAAATACCCCAAGTTTAGTCTAACTTGTCACAGATGACAGTGGATGCTAGCTGCTCCTTTAAAAAAAAAATTCCCCAAGTTTAGTCTAACTTGTCACAGATGACAGTGGATGCTAGCTGCTCCTTTAAAAAAAAAAATACCCCAAGTTTAGTCTAACTTGTCACAGATGACAGTGGATGCTAGCTGCTCCTTTAAAAAAAAAAATACCCCAAGTTTAGTCTAACTTGTCACAGATGACAGTGGATGCTAGCTGCTCCTTTAAAAAAAAAATTCCCCAAGTTTAGTCTAACTTGTCACAGATGACAGTGGATGCTAGCTGCTCCTTTAAAAAAAAAATTCCCCAAGTTTAGTCTAACTAGTCACAGATGACAGCGGATGCTAGCTGCTCCTTTAAAAAAAAAATTCCCCAAGTTTAGTCTAACTTGTCACAGATGACAGTGGATGCTAGCTGCTCCTTTAAAAAAAAAATTCCCCAAGTTTAGTCTAACTAGTCACAGATGACAGCGGATGCTAGCTGCTCCTTTAAAAAAAAAATTCCCCAAGTTTAGTCTAACTTGTCACAGATGACAGTGGATGCTAGCTGCTCCTTTAAAAAAAAAATTCCCCAAGTTTAGTCTAACTTGTCACAGATGACAGTGGATGCTAGCTGCTCCTTTAAAAAAAAAATTCCCCAAGTTTAGTCTAACTAGTCACAGATGACAGTGGATGCTAGCTGCTCCTTTAAAAAAAAAATACAGCAAGTTTACTCTAACTAGTCACAGATGACAGTGGATGCTAGCTGCTCCTTTAAAAAAAAAATACAGCAAGTTTACTCTAACTAGTCACAGATGACAGTGGATGCTAGCTGCTCCTTTAAAAAAAAAATACAGCAAGTTTACTCTAACTAGTCACAGATGACAGTGGATGCTAGCTGCTCCTTTAAAAAAAAAATACAGCAAGTTTACTCTAACTAGTCACAGATGACAGTGGATGCTAGCTGCTCCTTTAAAAAAAAAAATACCCCAAGTTTAGTCTAACTTGTCACAGATCAAGTCAATGACACTTCACTGTTTTTAAGTGTTAGATGATGCAATCTGGGGCTCAATATCCTTAAATATTGAGTTTGTCACAAAAATTATGGTCAAATTAACTTGTGCTTATGAGACAGCATGCTCAAGTGGTAGAGCTTATGACTGCTAACTTGAAAGTCTTAAGTTTCAATTCCGGGCTTGAGTCCATACCATATCTCTGAATCAACACAGCTCTGATTCATGTTCAGGGAATGTAAAGGTGGTTTAACATAGTGATGACCACACTATCCATTCATATGTTGAGCTCACACAAACAAGTTTACTTCACTTATCCTATGGACTGTCAGGATGAAAAGACTAACTTATGTCACAATATCCTTACTCCTTACTGAGTCAATGACGCATATAGTTTGGTAAAATTAACTTGTGCTTAACAGGAGCTTTATAATTTGTGATTGGCAACATTGTCATGATGTTATAATTGTTATAATATAGCCAACCACTAAAAATAAATTTTATTTTTAAAATTTCTTTTTCCTTAACAGATGATCAAATCAGAAAGTCATTTATTAAAAGTAAACCTGAATTTTAAAAACTTCTTTCATTACAAGTATATTTAACTACTAAATATTTCCTTCATTAAAACCACATTCAACTAAAGTTATTCTTTCACTGAGGTACACAATCTAACAAAAATACATCTTTCATTAAAAGTAGATTGAAGAAAAAGTTTCTCTAACCTCCGTCTCAGTTAGTCTCCTCTCCAGCCAGCCTTTGGTGTCCTCCAGAGCATGAACTTTTTTATTGAGCTCCTCAACCACAGCAACTTGACGGCTTAATTCATTCATCTTTCTCTGGTTGTCGCAGACATAAACACAAATATATTTAAAACCTCTACAGAGATATCAAGTTAACTTTTTTAACATTACTGTCCCATCTTAGGTTTACAGCACAATGAACAGACAGAACAAAGTTTATTAACTACATTTGAAATAGTTTACAGCACAATGAACAGACAGAACAAAGTTTATTAACTACATTTGAAATTCTTATTACTACACATGTTAGTGATATAAAATGATAATCAGTATATATTTAGTTTAATTAGTTAATATTTTTTATATGGGGTTTCTCCTTGGCAATTTTTTTTTAATTGAAGTATTAAGTACATAGACCTCAAACCTTAACCTAGCTCTAATCAGTTGTAACAATTAATCCTAGCTATGATTAACCCACACTATGAATCATACCTCACACCCCTAACTACACACAAATCAACAATACTCATCCACACACAACTGAACCAATGCAACAGTAAAAAACCTACAGATTTATCTGCCATCTCAGCTTTCAAGCCATCCACCACCTCAAGATGTTTGGCCTCCATCTTTGCCAGGTTGTCCCTGTGAGCATCATACTCCTCCTGGTACTTGATTGACAGCTCATCCAGCAAAGATTTCCTTTTCTCTGCCACCTGTAAACAGAAGGCAATACACTTTTTCAAGTTCTCTGTCAATTGAATAATATCAGTTCTTTACATATTAAGTATCGACGTCATTTTAAACTTTAACTATATTTCTTGGTCCAAGTCTTCAGAGAAGACACATTTTTTTAAAAAATGTTTTGCCCATGTTAGTAGTAATATAAGAAAACAAGGGCTATACAATTGAATTGGACTGAGCTTAAACCTGCTTACCTTACTGATCTCTTGCATAGATGTTATCTGTGTGTCTCTCTCTGCTAAAGCTGCCTGCATCTGGCTCACTGAGTCCTCAGCTACCCTGCGACTCTCCTGTAAACACATTGTTTTATGGTACACTTATTTACCCTGCGACTCTCCTGTAAACACATTGTTTTATGGTACACTTATTTACCCTGCGACTCTCCTGTAAACACATTGTTTTATGGTACACTTATTTACCCTGCGACTATCCTGGAAACACATTGTTTTATGGTACACTTATTTACCCTGCGACTCTCCTGTAAACACATTGTTTTATGGTACACTTATTTACCCTGCACTCTCCTGTAAACACATTGTTTTATGGTACACTTATTTACCCTGTGACTCTCCTGTAAACACATTGTTTTATGGTACACTTATTTACCCTGCGACTCTCCTGTAAACACATTGTTTTATGGTACACTTATTTACCCTGTGACTATCATGTAAACACATTGTTTTATGGTACACTTATTTACCCTGTGACTCTCCTGTAAACACATTGTTTTATGGTACACTTATTTACCCTGTGACTATCCTGGAAACACATTGTTTTATGGTACACTTATTTACCCTGTGACTCTCCTGTAAACACATTGTTTTATGGTACACTTATTTACCCTGTGACTCTCCTGTAAACACATTGTTTTATGGTACACTTATTTACAAGCTTAACCTAGAGACAGAGTGGCTCACTATGGATCACTAGGTCTGAAGAAGAATTCTTACTTTACTTTTTATATGCGGGACAATAAAGAGGAAACGGTCCACCTATTTCCGTAGCTATTATTACAAATAAATTAACAATGTTTTTGTTATCTCAAGACTTCCTGTTTACAAATTACAAAAGAGCTCCAGCTAAAAATCACATAACTAGACATCAGCTTTAACTGGTGGTAAAGATTAGAATGAAACAATGGAGGTTTAAACAAGCTCAAACCATTGAGTCAGTAGCAGTAAAAAAATATCTCCCCCACCACCTTGACCACCTGCTTACGTGTTTGATGGTGTTGTTGACTAATGACAGAATTTTATTCTCAGAAAAATATTTTACATTACAATAATAACAGAAGTGCGGCAAAGTTTATAAAAAAAAACTTTTTTTTTTTAAATTTACTTTTTACTTGTAGTTGAGCATACAGCAAAGTTACCTTAGGTCAAGCACATAGCAAACTAAGTTACCTTAAGTTGAGCATACATCAGACAAAGTTACCTGTAGCTGAGCGTACACATCATCACGCTCTTTAGTTGTCCTGGCCAGTAGGTCCCTGAGTACAGTGATCTCTGCCAGATACTTGCCACTCTGTTCCTGCAGCTGGTGGGTCGCAACCATGCCAGATGTGTCAACCTAAATGTTCATATTCAACATAAATGTTGCAATTTATAACCAGACCAGAAATGTCAACATCCAATTTAATATTTGCAGCTATTTTAGCAGTGACAAAATAAATGTTGATATTTGTAATTATTTCTATATCACATATATCAATATAGTTACATAAATTAACACTACGTTTTAATAGTTTTAATATTGAAAAAACTCACATAATTCTAACATTTTTAAAACAACATAATTAACCAGAAATGTTACATTGAAAGCAATAGGGGAATTAATTTTCAATTGTTGAAATGTAAATATTTTTTAAAAATTACCTACAACTTGTCTTAATATTTTAATTCTTTTTAAGAGAAGTATCACAATTTTAAACTAAACTATGAACATCTCTCAACATTGTTATAATGTGTGGCGCCACCTATGTAAGAAATAATTCCTACCTGCTTCTGCAGCTGTGCTATTTGTTGCCTTAGCTCCTCTGCCTGCTTGTCTTTATGTGCTTGGTGTTGTTCTATTTCCTGAGTACAAAGACATGACATAAAACTGTAGATACTTTCAATATCAGACTCTCTAACAGCATTTACACTTACACATGTATAATATGCTATAGAAAAAAAACTTCACAATAAGCGAGTAGATCTCCCTATACATGATCTGATCAAATTAACTTATGGTGGAGTTTTTTTTCTAGACGAGTATAGTATACATGTCATAAGTGTAAACGCAGTGTTAGACAAATATTCATGATTGTAAAAAGTATAATTTACCTTCCTGGCTTTCTCAATTTCAGCTGCCTGTTTGGCCATCAGGTCTTTGTAATACTTCTGATCCCTGTCCCTGGCAGCCTGCGTCTCTTCAAGTTTTGCACTTCACAGTACAAAACAAATCTAAATTAGTTCCATACAACTTATATAAAAAAAATTTAAATTACAATTTATTAAATTTTTTTTTAAACTGACTTACCTAATTTCTTTGAACAACTGTTCTTTCTCTGCATGAAGTTGAAGGTAGCTGAGGTGAAAATGCTCAAGAAATTACATTACTGGCAGAATAAGTTGAGCCTTAATGATCACATAAAAACAAAAAGCATCAGGTAAATAAAACTTGAACTCACCTTTCCTGTTTACGCTTCAGTTTCTCATTTGCCTACAGGTGCACAGGGAATCAAAGAAAATTTATTGAAATAAATATATTTTAAGAAAATATTACAAGAAAATAAATATATTTATGCATATATTAAAAAGAAAAGAATATAATTAATAAAGAAATGATGTATTCTATAAAAGGAATACATATTACAGAATCAGTTTATAGCTAAAGTGGTTGGCAACATGCTTGTGGCTCTATGACTAAATGTGGATTTTTTCATTTTCAAGTGTGCATGTAACATCTCTTTTTACAGTTTAAAATATAAACAGTAGAATCTTCATTTCAATGCATCTTCATAAATAAACTTATATGGAAATAATTAGTAAAGGTTTTTTATATTCATGAGAGGTTGCAATACTGAGCTAATAGAAGTTTAACATGTCCCCCTTTTCTTATTTTTTTTTGTAAATATTAATTAGCAATCAACCAGGATTTGAAATATGGCAAATGGGGTCAAAAAGTCAGTACAAGAAAGTGGTATACAAACAGATGAACTCTACTTCATCTATCCTACTTACCATCAAGAAGGTGGGTGTATTTAATGTATGCAGTGTATTAAACTCTGTTTGGAATGTAATCTACTGCTAAAGTCCCACAAACCTTTTCAATTTCTTCCTGAAGAGCTGATAACTGTTCCTGGCTTTCTTTCTGTAAAAGAAATTTAGTGTTAAAATACAGTGTATGAAAAATTGAACAATTATATGATCAATCCTTCTAATCTTATTTCAATAGACAATTTAAAAGTTCGTTTCTTCTACATGGGATTATAAAATAAGTCAAAATTTGATACTTAATTTCACAAAATTGTTTTCATTTTTATTAAAAAAAAAACAATTCTTTGAATCAGTATATTCATTGGTTACTAATTTATTTTCATTCTTTATATTTTTTTTTTGATTTGTATATAATATTTTTCCCTTTTCCAACCAGATAGTTCTTGAGGCAAGTGAAGTAAAATTCACCTGTTTCTGTGATCTTGGCATATGAGTGGACAGTATGGTCAGCACTTTGCCCAGCTGCTTTTACTTTTCCTAACTTGGGTTAGTACCAATCAGAGCTGGGTAAATGTTATAAACTTATAATACTGTAAATGTTTGCAAGATAGTTATACAATATTCAAAAACCTTTTTTTGTTCCAGTTGTGATTTGATCAATTTTTTCTCCTCTAGCTCTGTGTCCAACTCTAGACGTAGTTCTGTAAGTAAAAAATTTTTTAATCAATTAAGTTTCCCTTTGGAGAAATCAGAAAACAAGTAATTTAAAAAAGTCTAGTGACAATTTTAGCACAATTTCCTTATGTTATCTAAAAATAGCTCTGTCGTAGGGTAAATCAAGAGCAGGGTTAGTAAAACCATTGGTTAGTTATTAAAACGTTTTTTATTAATTTTTTTTTCAGTATTTTACATGTTTTATTTACAATAGAGTAACATGACTAAAAACCATTGCGCGCCTAGCTACCGAACGTGATGTCGCAGCCATTGAACGTGATGGCGCAGCTATTGAACGTGATGACGTGTGTGGTGTGGTTGCATAAAATGCCTACTAATTCGGTCCAAATTTTAATTAATTAAAAAAAAATTTTGTGACCAAACGAAAGGATATTTTTGAAAACTTTCTTCGGCAATATTGTTCTAAATTATGGCAGGAATCGATTGGTACATGTTTCAAGTCGCTAAGTGGTCTGGTTGCCGAGATATGAGCCAAAAACTGCATTTTTTCGAGGTTTTTTGGCTTTTCCGGGAAATCCATGAAAGAAACCCGGAATTTTTATGGCCTATGTTCATCCTCGTAACTTGCTTAACATAATTGTTTTTGTAACTAGTCATCGAAATTGCTTCGTTGAGGAGGAGATACGACTTAAAGCTGCGGACACACATCCATACATTCATCCATCCAGAAATGACGGGTTAATAAACACAATTCTCCAGAATGGAAATTGCGCTAAAAATTCAATAATTAAAACTGAAAACATGAATTCACTATTGTATTTGAATGAAAATATATTCAGTATAAATTCACTAGAAGATGAAATTGCAACAAGCAATATCTAACAAGAAACCTGCTATCAGTCATGCAATGTGGATGTTATATACACATACAATTATGAAAAAATTTGACTTACTGTTGATAAGCTCTCCATAATCAGGGGGTGGGGAAGATGAAGCTGAAAGAAATCAGGTAATTACATAAGTTCAATTTTAGGACAGTAAGAAAAGAAAGGGAATTAGTTCACTTTAATTTAAGGAATTTATGAAAAAAATTTAAGCTAGGATTTCAATGTCATTTGAACTGCCATGTATAGAAAACATAGCTGTATGCTATCAGATTACAACAAAAACCCATCTGATTACAATACCTGGTCGTTTGACTCCATCTACTTCTTCTGTGCAGCCTTCATCCCCTGTGTAATCTCTGGACAGAAAACAAAAATTCACCAGTTGGGTCAAATGAAAGAAATTTATACTAAGGATTTTTATTTAAGCATCATGTATAAAAATTGCATTATTTAGCTTGGCCATACTGGAGAAGTGGTCATCTCAGGAGAGAAGAGGGCTAATTAAATAAGTAGTTGTCTGCCCTTACCTGTCTGGGGAAGGCACATTTTCAGAGGGTGCTTCCCCTTGGGTTTCAGCTTTGATTAAAACCTCTTTATCAAACCTCTCCTGCAGAGCTGTTGAAATGAGGGACAGATTTTAAAATTTGAAAGAGGGAAATAAACAAACTAATAGAAAAAAACTAACATGTGGTGTAATTGGGGGCAATTTTTCAGCTAATGGAAAGAAATTGTTTGCAAAAAACAAAAAATCATTTTGGTATGTTGAGTATTTATTCTAAAAAATAGTTTCAGCTACTCCAGTATCAAGGTTTTTTTTTAATTTATATGGTCCCAAGCATGTGAATCCAAAAAAAAAAATTATTTTTAAAAAGTAGACATTTTTCTATAAAGATGTTTTAAATTGTTTATCTAAAGTTTTAGAATATTAATGTTTCAATTTTAAATCATGATAGGCATTATCATGATATGATGACATTGATGAGTTAAAATATTTTTTTTTTAAATCTCTGTGTCACAGGCTCTAGCACATCATGGCCACCATTACAACTGTTTTTGTTTGACAACCTGCCTAGTCCTTGCAAGCTCTATACTAGAAGATAAATTTGTTATGTATTATTCCTGCCAAATTTAATAACAGGGTTTTGATATTTTTTCAAAAATCAAGATCTTGACATTTTCATTCAATTTTAATTAAAAATCTTATGAAAATAAAAGGTTTCTAAAGTATCTCCTGTCCCCTGACAGAGCTAACAAAACCAACCATTCAAGTTTTTCTGTAGTGCCAAATTTTCTGCTTGCAACCGGCACATCTCATCATTGTTTGAAGACTCTGTCTCACTGGCTGTTGCTGCAGAGCTTGACTTCAAGCATTCCAGTTCTTTTTTGAGCTCTTCATTGCTGGAAACTAACTAAATGTGGCAGATCAAAACAAAAATTTATCAACTTTATTACAAATTAAGATGGTTTTTTTGCCTTTATCACTTAGAGACAGGGTTAGGGTTTTAATACAAGAAAGACTATATCTTTGATTCAACTGTTTAAAGAGGTAGGTCTACCCAAACAAAAAAATTATTACTAAGGTTATAATTATATGAGGTGCATGATTCAAATCAAGTGAATGAGAATGTATGTATACATATTTTAACACTGCACCTGTGACAGAAGAACCAACATTAGAAGCAAGATGTTTTTTCCTTTGCAACATCATGAGAAAAACACTGGATGGTGCTCCTATACATGTAGCCTATATATGTCCAATAGAGCTACTTGAAACAAGGTTTAAGCACAAACTCACCAGGCTCAGCTCTGCCATAAGAGTCTGGTTCTGAAGCCTGAATTCCTCCTCTTGGCTGAGCAGTTTCCTCTGCAGGGAGTCTGATTCTTGAATGAGGACTTCCACATCCTGTGTGGAATATACCAAGAGATAACATGGGTAAGGTTACATGGTGCTGCAGCTGCTCATTAATACAGAATATGCTAATTAGTGTTTATATTTTCTTCCATGTTGGAGGGGAGAAATTTACACTGACCTTGGCCTTTTTGCTTTTACTAATAGCCTGTAAAGTAGAAGAAAAAAATAACACTTTAGCGCTCGTATAAAAAATACACAAAGTTTGTACATTCTTTTAAAAGTATGGCAATAAAAATATAGTAAAATATGATAATAATTTTAAAACTTTAAGGATGTAAGTATTTTTGGTCAAACATATAAAAAAATTATTATGTCAAGAAGTTTATTAGTAGTTAAATACCTGTTTAGCTTTTCCAAGCTCTTTATTCAACTGTTCAATTTTGTCATTGGCTTCAGATAATTCTAAACAATTTTAAAAGAGAGTGTATATATTTTAAATCAAAGCAGTTGAGGCAAATGTAGAGCTAATAAACATCAACCAATGCTGGAAAATATGGTTTGGGGATTATTCTAGCTATTGTGTCACTACGGATATTGTTTTGTATTTAAGCATTGTAAAAATATTTATAAAAGTAAACTGTTATGAAAATTAATTCATTAGCCTTAAACATACATCAAAAAAATGTGGCTAATTATATAGCAAAATATATAACAAACAAATATTAGGGGCATTAACATGCACCTATTTGTTTTACATCGGATAGCTATCAAAAGATGTAAAAAGCACTAACAAATCATGCAAGCATTTTTTCACCCCCCCCCCCCCCCCCCACCAACATCAGAAGCTCTTATACCTGCAAGGAAAAATTAGAATTCCCATATCCCTTAAACACTTAAAGAACATTTTGGGAAGTTTAAAAGCTGAAGTGTATAATAATTATAATTACTGGTAGTTTTATATTTCATTTGTGATACTTCATACATCAATCTTGTACAAGTACATAAGCTCCAGCAAATTTCAGTAGAAAACAGGAGTACTCACCACGCTCAAGACGTTTATTTTTAGCTTCTGTTTCATAGTTAGTGGTCCTTAATTCAATAAGTTGTAGCTAGCAGATTATCAGAAAAATTGTAGGTTTTAATTATGTCAGGCATAGTTTGGCTAAATTTACGTCACTTTAAATCTTTAAATAAACAAATGAGTCAAAGGCTATATTGGCGCAAATATTGCGCAAAGGATAAAAGCGCGCTAACAAGATGATATACGACATAATGGAGTTTCAATATTTACCAGCCTGGATAAATTTGTTTTCAATATAGATCTATAGTTTTAAAAACCAGGCCACATTTCACACGCTGGCCAAAGACATTGTACCCCCCCCCCCCCCACACACACAGAACACACTCTATTCACAGGACAAAGGTCCCTGCAGTGACTTTGAAGTGCTCGTGCCACTGGCAAATGCCCCTAAAAGCAATTGACAACTTTGCCTTATATATTAATATATATAGACCTATAGATATTTTTAAGGAGTTTTAAGAGCATAAAATATTAAAATTTTTGTTTGTTTATGACAAAACATCATAAATCCTCCTTAAAATGTGAAATAATTACTAATTAGCCTAGTAAAATTTAATATTAATAGGCCTAATGGAGTCACCTTTTTTTCACATTACTAGTCTCAGCAGATTTTACATACCAAAATGGATAGGGCCAATGCTAGCCGGAAAAAGATACGCATGCGCAATGGAGAGAAACTACGACTTTCCATCGCGGCGATGTTTTCGATGGTACTGGGCATGCGGTGTTTACAACCGCAGAACTCTAACACCAACCCTAATCCTATCCCTAATTCTGACCCTAGCCATAGATCACTGCGCATGCGCAGAGTTATCTTTTGCAGACTAGGACACTAGGTGGAGACGTTGGGGAGAAAAATCTTCTTCCGAGTAGTCAAATGGATAGATTCATACTGCCTTTTACGGTAAAACTCCATTTTAGCGTATTTTATTCTCCGCTGCTTGTTTACCTCCAGTTGAACGTATTTTAATTTTATTATAGTAACCGAAACACACCATAACATTAGGAAAACACGATTTATTTATTTGTATTGTATTTTTGTTTTGACAAATGAATAAAAAAACAAAGAGACATACTTTGTTTTGTTTTAGATTTTGATAATTTACTTTTGTCAAAACTTGAGAAAAATCCAAATTTAGAATATTGAATGTGCTATGTTCGTGTGTCAGTTAGAATTTCCATGGCAATGGGTGAAGTACGTAAACGTAACTCACAATTGCAAGGCGGTTAAGTTTGTATTGTTACAAGTTTCTCCCAGGCATGATAGAGTCTACTATAAATAAACATTTATGAACTTACAATGAACCCAAAACTGAGGCCAACACAATTTCAAACAGCTATTGCCCGAGCAATGATGTATGCTGATAATTAAAGTCAATGTGAACTCACGGTGAACCCGCGACCGTGTAAGGATTTTTCTCCCGCTGACGATCACAAGATATTAAATTATTGGAACAGTTCTAGGTCTAATGCTTTTTTGTTTTTTTTACCTTTTCTAATAAAAAATCACATTTATAAAAAAATAAGTAGATCTAGATCTAGTGTTTTCCTGACGTTTTTGTGTGTTTCGGTTGTGTTTATAATAAAATACGCTCAACTGGAGGTGAACGTGAAGCGGGGAATAAAATACGCTAAAATGGAGTTTTACCACCTTTTACTTTTACCGACTTCTTTTCTTACTTTTTTTCAGTCATGGTGATGTACCAGAACTCTGAACTACTAGATTTCTAGATCTAGCTAGATCTAGATAAACTAGCTAGATCTACAAGTACACTAGTCTACCTACACTCTACAGCCTACACTACACTTACAGCTGATGATGATGAGATTGAGTACTTTTTTGAGTAGCCAGTGAATATAAATTAAATATAAATAGGGGGCCTATAAATTATAAATAAACGTTTTATTTTTACTTTAATGCCGAATTACTTTCAATTGTATTTTGTTTTATTTTTCTTTAAAGTCAATAGATCTAAATATAAATTTGTTATTTTCTACATCTAGCTGCACCAAGAAAAATTATTACTAACCTGCATACGATGGAACTCTCCTTCTGACAGAGAAGGCGAAGCAGCCATTTTGTTTGTTATTAATCTGAGTATTAAATAATCTATAAACACGTTATTTTTTTATTAGATAGCCAGATTGTACTTCTCTTCAGTAATACTATATTTTGTTTCTATTTTATTTGAATACACTTTAAAATGAATCGTAATTGATTGAATAACTCAAAACTATAGAAATCATCTAAAAAAAGGAAAATCACATTTTAGAGATTATTTATCAATTTAAATATGGCTGCGCCCATGTCTTCTCAAATCAAAACACGCAAGGAAATGAAAGAAAATAATGCCGATCAGCCCAAGAGTATTTCATCACAGTTGCTATACTCAGACACATTTTCAGAATGTAAGTTAAGTTAGTAGATCTAGATCTATGTAAGTAAGTCGATTCTATTGAGTCGATTAACTCTGAATTTTATTTTAACGGAGGCTACCGTGGAAAAAAAAACGAAGTGTCAGTGTGTGTGAGTGTCGTGTGTCTGGCGAGCCCTAGCCCTTCCTTGGCCTTCCCTGCCCTAATCTGAGATCGGTAATCTATCGTTTTAGGTACGTCTAATCGCCCGCGACTAGTAATGTGAAAAACAGGTGACTCCTTAAATTTTAATAATTATTTCACGTTTTGAGGAGGATTTATCATTTATGTTTTGAAAAATACAAAAAATGTTTCCGTTTCATTTTTATGTAGACCTGTTTTTAAACAATTGAATTAAAACTTGTCAGTAATAAATGAAAACTAGCGATGTTTCCAACAGATGCAACATTGCTCATTTACTACAGCAGCCATCTTGTTGAAGTTTTTTTTTATAAACTTATAGCACGAGGTTCAGGGGAAGCCACTCTAACTAACAGATTGCTGCTTTTTATGTAGCAAATCCGGATGATATTTAGAATCGACCCTTTGAATCCCGGTCAGATCGTCCCCCCGGCGTGGCCTCAGCCAACCGGCGGGCTCGTTGCATTGAGTTAAATATAAACTCAAAACAATAATATAAACAATCTCCTTTCGGTCGGTCAGGCCACATACCACGCACGCATAGTGTTGTGTGTCGTGCCTTAACCAAAATAAACTATCTCCCTTCATTATCATTAGACTTAATTAATTAATTAATTTGCTAATTATAAAATTATGTATGATGCTATAGAAGTAGGTAAGTATAATTTCTTACTATGTATTTGTACTATTAAACATATTATTAAAGAACATCGTTGTTTCAATACCACCCTCTCCCCTTCTTGAACTCAAAGTTAAACTTGTAACCCCGTTTGTAAAGACTAGCGGTATGCTGTAAGGCGGTGGGTGGGTAGGGTATATACTCATTGAAAAAAAAATCCACCGTGGTGCGTGTTATTGGCCTTGGGTGACCGTTGTTGGCGCTTGCTGTGAGGGGGAGAGAGGTGTGTGTTATACTCGGTGAAAAAAAATGCACCGTGGTATTGGCCTATGATGACGTCGGCGCTAGCGGGAAGGGGTGGGGGGGAGACGTTTTTTTTTTAAACTAAAAACTAGGCGTAATGAAAATCAAGGACTGGTATAGTCATGTCGAATTTAACGAGTGATGCTTGCTGGGTCTATCATCATACGATTGCTTGGCGATGGGAGTCTCGTCAAGCTCAGGTTACATTATTAACAGTGAACTATTGGGATGCTGTCATGCACAAAGTAACAGTACCGAATGTAGCACTTAAAACATCGAGTGCATCCAGCTCATTATAAATCTTTGAAATACAAGTTATGGATAGTCCAATAACTACTAATACTTGAAGGACTACCAGAATATATGCATTGTATTATAAAATTAATCCTTACTATATAACTAAAATGTGTATCCAAATATTTTTAGGCTAACGGGATCTGCATTTAAATAAACACAGTCAAATACCTACCCCATTCAGTAGAAATATTAGGCTACTTTTGCATGGTAGCACTACGGCATTTTTTAGATTTCGTAATGAGTAGCCTAGTCGAGCATTAAACTAGAATAAAGGGTTGTACTCAATAGCAATGACGATAATGAAATGCCGGCTTCAAATACCGGCTTCCCCGTATTCGTGGACTACAAATATAGCTCCGTCGTTTAAATGACCCCACCCTCCACCTTTTGCCTAGTTTAATATAATAAAGTTACACTTTCAACCCCGTTAGGATGCGTGAACTACTGAACTATTGAAAAAAAATCTATTCTGGTGTTAAATTCCCCTCCCCTACTCCCAGCATTTAACTTTGGGGCCATACACATCAGGAAGGTCTAGGTCGGCGTTATATCTCGTGCAAGTTTACTCACAACACGACTACACACTATGGTTCTATCCAGGATTAAAGCTGCGACACTTACTTAGAGTGGGATTTATTCGTTAGATCATTGTGCTTCAAATTCTGTTTCATTTTAGGATTAGAGTGATAGAATGTTGGAATTCAGTTAGTTTGTTAATTAATATATTGATCTAAATGTCGTGTACCGTCAGAAACTAAATTGGTTGACAAGGCACATGTGTAGGCTAAAGAATGACCTCTAGATCTAGATCGAGCCAAAGATGGCTGGTTAAGGTTGACATACTGTGGTTTTCAAATTTCATGGTGATGCTTTTCTAACGGATTTTATTTTGTGCTTTCTTTGGGATTATTTTGTGTGATGTGAATATTCAAAAGTAATTTGTAAGTAGTATGCTTTTCACATTCAACCAACTTAACAGTTTGCGGTCGATCTGCGGCCGGGCTGATTAATTTACATTTAGCGAAACTACACACTACACGGCGCCCTAAGGCCGTTGTTTCAGCATGCCCTACTAGTCAATTATAGACAACTTTAGAATCAACACATGTAGCCAATACATCGATTTTCATTTAATAATCTTCAAAAGCCATTCCTCTAGGCTAGGGTCGTTATTTTCACGAAATTGTCGTTTTCCAATTTGTTGTCAAGAAACTGGTATTTAGTTCACGAGAACGTACGAAAACCACTCATGCGTGACCGAAATCGTCGATCGGGTGCCTTCACGTGGTTTGACACGTGTTGACATGGGCCTTTGTTTACATCGAAACATAGCTCAAAACGGCCCTTTTTTTAATTAATTCTTCGAAAAAATGGCTATGTCCATTTCTAAAAAGTGTCATTTTCGGGCCCATTTTAAAAAACGTAAAAAAATCCGAACTACACGTAGAAAAAATGGCTTTTTCGGCCCTTTTTAGCTCCAAAAACGCCGTGTTTACGGGTCGCGTGACGTCATCGTGACGTCAGCCGCCAACCAAAACGCGTTGAAAGCGCGCGTTTGATTGGTTGGCGGCGGATACTATGAAATATCAAGGGTTTTCTCTAAATTTTTACCGCAAATCCTGCTCGCAAACACTGCTGTTTAAAGTTAATTTCTTGCCTATATTGATATATTTAGCCATTGATTTAGGTTTATTATTATTATTTAGGCCTGCTGAACTCAGTGACCCCGCCGACCGTGGTGGGATTTTTCACTCACGGGATAGTAAACGTAAGCCAGCAATCACGCCAGTGACGATATTTGGATTTGGAAATTTTATTAATAAAAACGAATCACACCTGTGATATGTGTAGTCACTTCAGTATGGGTTACGCTCTGCGAGACGCATTGTCACTTTGTTAATTTTAGTTGCTGTTGTAAAGTGAGATAACTAGCTTAATGTTTTTTCTAGAGGAGGGTGTGGCACATCACATTTGGAACTTTATATTTCTGTGTTTTATGACTATATTTGTACATCAGCATGCTATGCTTTTTTAAATTGATAAATACCAAGTTACAAAACCAGAAATCAAACTAATAATTCATACTTTCTGTTTAAAAAACAATAAAAAAAACTATCATCAATGAAGAAAGCGTAAACATTCTATTTTTAGGTATTACATAAAAAAAATAGTTGTATAAATCTAGCCAAATTATTGGATTCTTGCGCTGCACACTTTTTCCCGCAGCTCATTTTCACCAAAAGAGATTATAATAAAATGGCATTGTTGAGGAGTGATCATTTTCACTGAACATCTCATGAACACCGTAAATCATTACCATTTAATTGTAATGTGTGTAAAATTAATGCTTTCAAGTTTAATATTCACATAGTATGGTTTAATATCGAAGTGGTATTTTAGAGATTTGATTTGAAAGACAAGAATAATATAGAGCTACTTTTGCTAAGGTGCCGCTCAAGAGATAATCAAAGACATTATGTCAAAAAAACACCTGACAATTCTTAAATCACAGACTTAAATAGAAATGGATAGATCCTATTTCTAAAATTGACGATGGTTTCATAATCATTAGTTTTATCCCTCTACCGCGTAGTGAAAGCAAAACTTGTCGCCATTTTAGTAAGCGATTGGGCAGTAAAATGGCACGAAAACAACAAACCCGGAAGCTGTGAATCGAAAGGCCTACATTGAGTAGTTAAATATAAACTCAAAACAATAATTAAAGTAATCAAGGTCCATATACTTTTATTGTTAGATCTAATACAACCTACTTGATTTGGGAAAAGTACTGTATTGTAGAGTGTAGCCTGTAGGAGCTCTCTCCTGTTCCCTTAGGCCTTAGAGAGATTTTTAGAGCGTCAACATTTTACTTCTTACCTTTAATATCCCACTAGGTTACCAAGAGAGTCATTTGTCTTTTGTTGGAAAACAAACTTCATCAATTATATCAAACAGCAATGGACCACCCACAATTACAGCTGTACCACAGAGTTCAAGTATGTATGTTACATCAAAATGAACATTCATTTTAGCAATGTAATTGAGTAAAAAGTAAATGAAACATGTTTAGTTTAAATGATAAAATTGTATTTTAACACAATTCATTCACTTTTAAACATTTTAAACTGGTTGGCATTATGAGTGATACAAAAATTAATTTTCTCTTGTTTCTTCAAGTTTTATCCAGGCTAAAAGACTTCCTCCCACAATTATCAGAAGCAAACAAAACAATGGCATCCCAGCTTGTTGAGCCTTCATGTGATATTGATAAGTTCAATATTGAAAAACTCAGTCAAGATGATCAGCCTCATATTGAAATGGTACATCTCTCTATTTTGTGAATTGTAGCTGTAGTTATAATAAACCAGTTCATTATTTTGTTCCTAAAGTAGTCAACAATGTGACCATTTTTTTTTAATGTTTTATTGCTTAGTTGTTAATTAGTTTATAAAAAAACATTATAGGCCTACTGTTTCGATATAAATTAGTTTATGTTTACATTCATAACTTAATTATGATTTAGATTTTTATATTATACGTGCAAGTTGATGATTTAAAAAGTCATGGAGTAAAGCGGATTTACTAATAAAAAATCTTTCATTTTTCCAATATTTTTTGCCCTCAGAATCTGGCATTGTTACCACCAGAAATGTTAGAAGATACAGACGATGATTCAAGCTCAGAAGATGATAGTTCAGACAGCGAGGACAATGAGGAGGCTCCCGAAGTTAACCTGAAATTCAAAAAAGAGCAAGTGAAGAGAAAGAAAGTAAATATTGAAGAGGTTATACCACAGACTGAAGCTACACCAGATACGTGAAATGTGGTTCTGTTTATTTTATAGTGTTGATTGATGGAGTGTATGATACAGTTTGTATGACAGTTGTAGTTTACTTGATCTATGTCTGACAGCTCGGTTACATTTGAGTGTAGGATAATTTTTTAAATGTGCTTAACTCCCTTTGGCAAAAGGTATCTTATATGGGAGTTAATCTGTTTAAATACAAAGAAACATAAAAAGTGGATTAATTCCCTTTGACCACTATCAGCGTTTTAGCTCTAACGTTGATACAAATTTATAAAATTAAATTTTTGATAAGAGCGTGTGTTTATGCTCATTTAAAATGGAAAAATATGGTGATGTTTAATCCTTGTGTTCTTTTACTACTCAAATTTAAAAAAAAAACAAATACCATTGGTAATGAGATAATTTGTGGATTTTTTAAATAATGTAGGATGATATAAACATGACTGTAATGTAAATAAATGTTTGTTTTCCAACACAATTGATTTGTTTTGACAGTAATTGTTTTTAAATTTCACTTTTGTAATTGTTAGTTGTAGGCTTTTTAAATGGTATTGAAATCATGGAAACCATATTTCTATAACTTAATACCTCTTCTAATAGACTAGCAATGAAGGAAATAAATAGGGGCCAATAACCAGAGATGGTCTCATAATGCTGTACATAACTGCAAAAAGTGATACTTGTAAATCTTTTTTCCATTAAAAAATGAAATGGTTAATTGTTTTAATATTCCATTATCAGCCTCTGGTTGATTTGAGAGGAAAAACACAAAATATAAATTAAAATCCTTATCAATTATATTTAAAAACATTTTTTATTATTTTGAAAAAAACTCTGGATTCTACTTTAATTTAAATATTGATTACTAATATAAAAAATAAATCACTATATATAAGTTAATGCCATGGTCGTATACACTACACAATATTGAATTTGTTGAGATGTTTGTAAACTTTTTGTTGGAGGGGTTAGTACTACTTTCAACTCTAAATAGCAAGTACTGTGAGAAGTGTTATTGTTTAACTGATAACAGCTGATTGTTGACATTGAAAACAAATCAACAGCTGATGCTGTTGCAACCAATCAGATATCCGGGATAAAGAAATCTCAAATCTTGTATCCAAAGTTATCTCTCCTGATAGTCGACCACTCCATCAAAGATAATATATTCAATGAATTTTTTTTTTTCATTAGTGTTATCAATTTCTCCTTGCTAGCTCGATAACATTGGGTGATAAAAATAAATGACACATTTATGTGATAGTGAACATCAGTGGCGCAGGCATGATTTTGTTATGGGATGGGAGATAGATAGATAGATAGATAGATAGATAGATAGATAGATAGATAGATAGATAGATAGATAGATAGATAGATAGATAGATAGATAGATAGATAGATAGATAGATAGATAGATAGATAGATAGATAGATAGATAGATAGATAGATAGATAGATAGATAGATAGATAGATAGATAGATAGGGATATAAAACAGCCAATAGCTGTATCTAAGCATGAGAAAGCATTGGATTATGGCCCCATGGAGGGTATAAGTATATAACACTCGTGTATGTCCTATCTACTCTATTGGGTGACGTCAATACTCCCAACCATCTACACAAATATCATCTTCAGTCCTTATCCTTAACAACATCGGTAGTGTTTCTTTCAGGTAGCTCTCCTATAGGGCAGACCCCCATCAAAACACATTAACTTTATACTTTAACCCCCCCCCCCCCCCCCAGGAAGTTTCAAGACAACCCCCCTCTCCTAGGGAAAAAAGTCTAAAAGAAACACCGAACACTGGTGTTTCAGCTGACACTACTAGACTATCCTAAAACCAATGCTCTAACTTATGATACTTCCAACTAAGCTAATATCACAACACTGGCTCTAAGCTGAACTACTTGGACCACCAAGACTAACACCCTCACTCTGAATACTGCCCTAACTAAATAGATTTTCTAACTAAATACAAAGAGAATTTTTTGTTGTTGTTGTTGTTGAAGAAAAGTGAGAGGACCAACTGTTCCGTACCACACCATCTATTCACTCCAGCCCCCACAACCACATCATTAATACAACATCCCCCCCCCCACACACACACACACACAAATCACACCCAACATGTACTTTTATTTCTCTCTATCCCCCCCCCCCCCCCCATTCAGTTGTATACAATTTAAAAAAACTCGGCGAACCACCACCTTCCCCCACACCCACTAAATTGGCATTTTTTTACAACATCATATCCTGGGCGCTGATCAAAAAAAAAGAGCCACACTGCGTCACAGGAATGACCAGGATTCTTACCCTCTGCGGTTTAAAAAAAAATGTAACAAAAAATTCACCCAAAGAGGTAAAAAAAAAAAATTAAAACAATACGGGCGAACTTCCTATTGCTAACACGATCCTAATTGCCGAAAAAGCCGTTTCGTTCTCACGGCGCTTGCCAGATTTTTCAATCGGCCCCAGGTAGGCAGGAGTGGATAAGCACTTAAACGAGTGGGCCTATTGACGTCACTGCAGGGCCCAATCCGTGGTCGACCTTTCGGTTTGTGTACCCGTGCGAGAGAGGCACCGGTTCAATGTAGACATAGTCCGCACGCGTACAATATGGGGGGGGGGGGGGGGGGGGGGGTAAGTCTTGTCAATTAGGTAAAAAAAAATTGCGGGGGTTGGAAGGTAAGAGTAGTTTATAGCATATCCCAAAAAATAGGTATGACTTTAGAAAATCTTGGGTAAAAGTAAAGTCATTTTTTTTTTATTCAAGTCGTCGGTAAATGAATGAAGTAAGCACCTTATAGGAGGGCGTTTCTGATTTATGACGACAAGTTACCTGGAGCTGGGTTTTAGAAATGTGACGTTGAATACATTTTGAGGTCTTAAAGAAACTATGAAAAACTTGAGGTCTGGTCTGCTAAGCGCTGAATCGTTTGAAAGGGGAGGGGGTTGTTTTTTAAACGTGTGAAAGAGGAGAAGGGGGTGGGGGTCAAGAAATAGGCTAAATTCGAGTTATTATTTTCAACTTTTTATTTGTACTAAAAACTACATTTTTTTATGTAGTAAGACCGACCGATACTTGCTGAAAATGTTGATTCAGTTGTATCATGTTAAAAGTCTGTTTTACTTTCTACGTATTCATTGTTTCTTACCATTCAATAATTTTAAACAGTTTTGAATATAACTAAATAAATAATTACTAAGTTAATTTATTATTTTAATTCTTTAAAAAAAAAGTGCGAACAAAATAATGCTAAAGTTTAGCTGCCAAAAATTGTTTAAACTAGTTTAAAATACCAGGTGCTCTAATTACTAGACTAAACTATTAGACCGTGTTTTAAATACCAGGTGCTCTAATTACTAGACTAAACTATTAGACCGTGTTTAAAATACCAGGTGCTCTAATTACCAGACTAAACTATTAGACCGTGTTTTAAATACCAGGTGCTCTAATTACTAGACTAAACTATTAGACCGTGTTTTAAATACCAGGTGCTCTAATTACTAGACTAAACTATTAGACCGTGTTTTAAATACCAGGTGCTCTAATTACTAGACTAAACTATTAGACCGTGTTTTAAATACCAGGTGCTCTAATTACTAGACTAAACTATTAGACCGTGTTTAAAATACCAGGTGCTCTAATTACCAGACTAAACTATTAGACCGTGTTTTAAATACCAGGTGCTCTAATTACTAGACTAAACTATTAGACCGTGTTTTAAATACCAGGTGCTCTAATTACTAGACTAAACTATTAGACCGTGTTTTAAATACCAGGTGCTCTAATTACTAGACTAAACTATTAGACCGTGTTTTAAATACCAGGTGCTCTAATTACTAGACTAAACTATTAGACCGTGTTTTAAATACCAGGTGCTCTAATTACTAGACTAAACTATTAGACCGTGTTTTAAATACCAGGTGCTCTAATTACTAGACTAAACTATTAGACCGTGTTTAAAATACCAGGTGCTCTAATTACTAGACTAAACTATTAGACCGTGTTTCTTGGGCTGTCTGAGAATTTTCTGATGTTTTTATTTTTAAACATTTTTTTCTAATTTTTATATTTTCAATTGCATTTTTTTTTTCCTCTTTAGAGCTGAACTTACACTCCACTGCATACTACTTGGTTATTTTTTAAATAATAATCAACCTATTTCAATAACATTCTAAGAGTTCGTTTCGTTATTGGGTTATGAGTAAACATACAGGTAGAACTTTTAGGAGCTTTTTTTTTAAATTTTTGCAAGCATTGCTACCCTGGCCCAAATCTACAACCCTATTCTTGACCTTGACCCTTGTCCAAATCTTGACGAGAACTTTTACAGCGGACGAACAATATTCAGACTACATGAACCAACTATCTGAATATCTACCTCACCCTTAGAGAAAAATTTTGATAATGATAAAAGGACTTTGTGAGATTTGATCTATTCTCATTTACTTAAAACAAAGGGCAGTAATCAGAAAAGTACTAGTCGTACTCTGCGAAATGTATTCATTAGATACTACGTAGTTGTAGACGTAAGTGGCATCTTCCCATCAACATTCATTGCCATTCGCTTGTTTGGATTTCAGAGGCGTATCTAGAATACCCTGTCCTAGGGAGTTAGTTCGCGGTCACGCCGCCGATGTTTAAATCAAGCAAACACATTTATTTCCTACTGCGATAGGCAAGAGGTGTCACACATTAATGATACCACGCAATTTTTTACCCGTTTTTTTAAATCACCCTTTTCGTCACAATAGCCGTATTCCTTCCCATACCTTGACACCTAAAGTAGCCAAAAATCGTTAAGTGTAAGTTTTGGGTGGTTTTTTTTTTTGTTTTTTTTTTAAATTTTAGAGTTTTGTTAATAAGTAAATTAAATGCTAAGTCACATTCCACTATTTCCCCACGTAACAATCGTCACAAAGTCTGAACCCTGTCTTCCCTTAGGTACGTAACGTCCTGTACAAACGACAACAGTAGCAGTGTTTACCTGTTTAGCGCGCATTCAAAGTTCACCCATAATCCCCCCTCTTGCCAAACGTGTAGATCCGTCTTTGTCTAGGCTACGTTCACAACAAGCTGTTTATCAAAACGACTGAAAGCTACTCAGTTGGCAGCCATTAACACTTCATCTTTGCTTTTTTTTTAAACTGCCTGAGTTATTGTTGCAATCTAACTCACGTCTCAAAAGAAGATTTGTTGTTTATTTTTTATCCAAACATTGAGATTCTAATGATTGGAATACATTTTTTAAACACAGGGAAAAATTGTAGATCTATAAATTCATTTTTTCTTTATTTTTAGGGTTTCGTTTTATCTACTGTGGCTATTTTTGGATTGTAACATGTAGGGTTTTCCAAATTTATTATTTTTAAGATGACATGTTGTTTTTTATTTTGAGCATTTTTCTCTTGCAATATTATGGAACTTTAGTGGCTATTCTATTTGACAACA